AGAGAGAGAGAGAGGGTGAGAGAGGGGAATTGAGGGGGATAAGGAGAGTGAGAGAGAGAGAGGGAGCGACAAAAGAGAGAGAGAGAGAGAGAGCGAAGGAGAGACAGGGAGAGAGGGCAGAGAACGGGGAAAGAGGGGGAGAGAAAGGGGAGAGAGAGAGGGAAAGACAAGGAGAGAGAGAGGGAGCGACAAAGAGAGAGAGAGAGGGAGAGAGAGAAAGAGAGAGAGAGAAATAGGGAATGAGGGGGAGCGACAAAGAGAGAGAGAGAGAGAGAGAGAGAGAGAGAGAGAGAGAGAGAGAGAGGAAGAGACAATTGAAGAGAGGGAGAAAGGTGGAGCGAGAGGAAGGAAGATAGAGAGAGAGGGGAGGGGGGAGAGGAGAAGCATGCATAGCTCTGAGAGCCGGGCGTTGTAGATGATTACTAAACTTTTCTGTACGCATCAGTTCAACAACTTAACCTTAACCCTCGGCGAAACAACAACCTTCATCAAGAGGAAATGAAAGGCTTCGGAAGTATAGCCTACACTTTAAAAAAACAGAGACGGACGTTCCCCCCCTCCCCCCCCCATAAAAAAACCCACTCACCAATACAGTTTATATGATTTTAAGGAGGCGGGTAAAGGTCCTGGTTGCCAGGCGCAAACTGTGCCGAGATGAATGCAACATCCTAGAAAAAAGATCAAGATACAGGATAAAAAATGTATCCTCACTGGGGAATCCAACCCAGGTCTCCAGCGCGAGACAGCCGAGACGTACACATTGAGACAGAGAACATACTATATGTGATGCAGCGCGGTGGAATCAGGCTCTCGTCAATTTTTGTACATGTAGAGTTATTGGTATCATCTTAAATCTTGTTCACTTGTCTAAATTAGAATGAAAAAAAATATCAATTTATCTTGAATACAAGTCAAGATATTTGCTAATGAAGGAGGTAGGGGTCACCTGTTTTCAGAGGAAAAGTTAGAGAGAGAAAATGGCCGCCAAAGATCAGTTATTTCCATAGCTTAAGAGCCCGTGTTAACTGAAAATTTCCATTTTTGAGCCTTTAATTAACGTTTTCCAGGAAAATCCAGACAGAAATGAGTTTTTAAATGGGTAAGAAAGGTGTTGAGCCAAAAAACAAAAATTTGATAAAAATTCACAAATCTGAAGAAAAATGCAAGTTTTTTCACTTTGATTATTTTGACGAGAGCCTGAATCCACCGCGCTGCCTCACATATGTAAATAACTTACACACTAAGACAGGGGGTGTATTCCACAACCCTATTATAAGTAACTTACACACTAAAACAGAGAGTGTATTCTACATGTATAAGTAAATTACACACCAAGACATAGAGGGTATTCATTATTGTACACGGATAAGTAAATTACACTCTAAGACAGAGAGTATATTCCTCAAGTAACCTATGCACTAAAACAAGAGAGGGTGTTCCAAATGTATGAGTAACTTAGGCTCGTACACTAAGACAAGAGAGTGTGTTCCACACAATAATAACAACTTACACACTACGACAGAACGGATCCCGTACTTTTTGAGTAAAGTACACACTGACACGAAGAGCATAATAATATTAGCATTCTATGCAAAATCAGTGAGCCAGTCACACGCACCTAGCCTCATCTACCGAGGTCGTGTCACCGAGAAAAAAGCTAACGAAGCAGTAATACATAGGACAAGGTAATCAAACAGTAATACACGGCCTAGAAAAACACAGGTCCTGTCATTCTGCGGCGCGCTAATTAAACAGTAATAGATCTGCACAGCCCAGATACAAACAATCATATCCCAGGAAAATGGCGACGTGAAATAAATTCAGACGCCTAACCCCCATTGTGTGGATAATTCTAGATCGTTTTCTTCTGACGGCCTGTTCCTCGACTGTTTCACTCAAGTGATGTAGATCGACTTGCACCAAAGACAAGACTCTCACAACTGACCTATCAGCGGGCTTGGAAAAATATTAGCCTATGTTTATTGATCAAACCAGGACAGTTCTTGGAAAAGTGTTATACATGTAAGGCAAGTGGAGAAACACAAGGTGTTTAGTAGAGGTTTTACGGCGCTCACAACTGCAAAAGGTCATATTATGAGGGAATCGGGCTTACTCTGCTCACCTCTTTAGCTTTACCAGCACAAAGTCTGTTTTGACTTTCAAGGCACCCCCGGAAATAGCGTGTCACAAGAGTGTGGCAAACATATAAAAGAAGTGAAGTAAAATGACGATAGTGAGGTTTAGGAAAGAAAAAGCAGCAGTTCTCTGTTGTAGTTCAGGCATAGTTATGAGCATGACATTGTTGAATCAGCCCATTTACAATTCTACTGTGCATAAGAACGAGAAATGTCCCGCTTTTGGGAATGGCCTAAAGACACTTCAGTCACCGGCGCTGCCCCTGCAGGGAGTGAGGGTTTGTGGGGGGAGGACACGAAGAGTTTGGGGCCAGTTTGAGGCAAGTAGAGAAACACTTTGAGTTTGGGGCAAGTTTGAGGTAAGTGGAGGAACAGAAGGTGTATAGGGCAAGTTTGAGACAAGTGTTTCTACACTTTGAGCTTGGGGAAAGTTTGAGAAACATGGGGTGTATGGGGCAAAAGTCTAGAAACATGGGGTGTATGGGGAAAGTCTAGAAACAAGGAGTGTACGGGGCAAGTGGAGAAACATGGGGTGTATGGGGAAAGTCTAGAAACATGGGGTGTATGGGAAAAGTTTAGAAACATGGGGTGTATGGGGAAAGTCTAGAAACATGGGGTGTATGGGGAAAGTCTAGAAACAAGGGGTGTACGGGGCAAGAATAAAAAACATGGGGTGTAAGTGGCAAGAATGAAAAACATGGGGTGTATGTTGCAAGTGGAGAAACACATGGGGTGTATGTTGCAAGTGGAGAAACACAGGGTAAATGTGGCAAATAAAAAAACACAAGGTGTAGTGTGTTAAACTTGAAACGTAGCACACTTTCGCAAATCGTTTACAGATTAAACAAAGTTCTGCTGTACCGAGGCTTGTATATTTTACGACCGGAGTACTGTGGTCTCAAATAAAAATGTCAAACGCCAGGCAACCCAACCCTCAATCGATAGGACGACGGAGAGCACCTTGCAGCCTTTGTTTTACGGCATTTTCAACACAATTAGGCCATACAAGTGCCAAAGAGTAGAGGTGCTACAATAGAGTAAAGTTGTTCGCGTATCCGATTCAGACATTGGGGATTGCCTTGTTAGTGAGACAACTTCCTGGGCCTTCGGCATATTGTGGTAGAGTGGCCAGTTCCTTTCCACG